ATCATTTATTTCTCTGTGTGAGTGCAGGCCTAGGGCTTGAACTCAGGGCCTAGGCACTCTCTGTCCCTCAGGTTTTATGTTCAAGGCTAGCATTCTACCATGCAAGCCACAGCTCCACTTCTGGCATTTTTACTGGTTATAAGATGATAGTAAGGTAATGTAAGAGTCTCCCTAACTTTCCTGCCCAGGTTCCTGCAGCCCCCAGCTCTCAGGGTCCTGAGTAGCTATGACAACAGGAGAGAGCCGCCAGCACCTGGCCAGATCACTCATTTCCCACAAATAATGTCAGCAGGTCATATTTTACGGATTCTGGCTATTCTTTTTATTTCATAACTGCTGCAAACTCTTCCTTTTTCCTGATGGAGCTCTGTGTATCCCTTTAACCACAACAGCAAGTACTAAGTAGAACATGCTAATGACATAACATCAAGAAATTATTTTATCAAAAAAATCATGGGTTTTATTTAAGAAAACTAAGCATCGGGAAGAACCGATGTTGGGAGACATCTTCTAACTGGCATTATTAGTTTTGTTTCCTCCAAGTAGCACCATTATCCTGGTCTCATTGTTTTGCAGACAGCAGGCCAAGTCATAACCCAGAAAATGTAGAAAAAGAATAAGTGGATGTCAGAAGCCTTCTAATATCTTCAGCCCCAGTCCAAGGTCAAGAGAGATGTGAGGGAGATGAAGATAAATGGAAGCACTTTCAACCAGCATCATAAAAACCCCTGCATGGGTGAGCTGGAGGAAGGCTTCCTAGTCAGGGTGGAGAGCGGGAAGTGCTCACCTTCGAAGTCTCTAGCTTATTAGAGTTTGGAGACATAAAGCCCCAAAGTAAAGCGCAGATGAGGCTGTTAGCAATAAGTTTTAGTCTTATCTTCTTCCCAGGTATTGGAACCTGGAAGTTGGAGGTTAATTTTCAGGTCCTCCTACATCCAAGAAGCGCCCACGGGAAGAACTCAGTCACATCCTAGGCTGGGTACTTAGCACCAGGCTGGGAGCTCCTCCAACGTGAAAAGCACATATATCTCCATTTGGCACACATTTTCTTCCGTTCAGATTTATCTTGCACACGTCCCATCAGGGAGCATTTCTCCGTGCCTGCTATTGGCATTCGTTCAGCTCTTAGGAAAGTAAGAGGCAAACACCAGGGAAGTGCTTCCTTTCATCAAGGCCTATTTCTTTCCCTATTCCCTGCTATTCCTTTCCCCCAAAATGCAATTTGTTGTGTAGTGGTTGTGCCGGTACCAGAGCTTGAACTTAGGGCCTTTTACTCTCACTCAGCTTTTTGCTCACATCTAGCACTCTACAACTTGTGCCATACTTCCAGTATGTCATTTTGGTTGGAGATAGAAGCTCTTGGACTTTTCTGCCCAGGCTAGCTTCCAATCAGGATATTCAAATCTCAGACCTTCTGAGTAACTATCATTACTAGCATGAGCTACCAGCACCAGACCCAAATTGTAATTTAACTACTGGAAATTTTCTAACTTACAAAAGAACTTTGTGCAATAAGGTCTGTGAACTTTCCACTGAGACTTGCCAACTGTTTTTTTCAACAGTGGTATTTCTGTTTTTCTTATGTTTACTTGGATTTTATTCTCTGAATTGTTTGGAAATAACATGAAGATATACAGGCTAAAATTCTTTAGCATGTATCTCCTAAGAACTAGAACAGTCTGCCACACAATTACAATGTCATTATCTACCCTAATAGAACATTGGTTATATTGGTGCACAGTTCATATACTGTGCACCAATTGTTCTTTATATGTTTCTATAGTATAAGAGCTAAAAACAAATCATCCATTGGCTTTAGTTGTAGTGTTTGCTTACACTTTTAATTGAGAATACTCTTTCCTCTGTTATGGTCTTCCATGACTTCACAGTTTTAATGAGTTCACAAAGCTGGTTTGTCTGCTGTCTAATATTCTTAGTCATTTCCCTCTGATTAGATTCAGGTCAAGTATTTCTTTTGCAGAAATCACCAGTTAGCATCCTATCAGACAGCATATATCGCTTTTTCTTTTATTGATGATGTTCCTTGATCATTTGGCTAAGATCACTCTCATACTTGTTTTTGTTTGACATGAGAAGGCATGTGTATTGTGGTGCTTCGGTGCTCTGGCAATATCCCGTTCCCCAACAGCACTTTAGTCAGTGATTGAACACCATTCATGGGGTTTTCGCCTTGACCCAGTCGTACATTGTGGTGATGTCTTGGCATCCTTTCCTATAGAAGTCCGTGTCTTTTGCTAAAAGAGATCTTACTGCGCCTGCCTTTGGGAATTCTGTGCCACTGTGAGCATGCATGTGTGCCCTCTTGCTCCCCTCCCCCTCCTCCCTTTCTTTTGTCTTAAGGGGTTGAACCCAGGGGGCTCTCCTTGGTAGGCAAGTGTTCTAATGCTTGAGCCATATCCCTAGCTGGAGATTTTTTTTATGATTATTCAGTGTCTTACAGTGCATCTTTCCCAGTAATAGGTTCTACTTCAGATTGCTCCAAATTGTCCCAACTTCTCTGTCCTTGTGACGTTCCTAAGTCCAGCTTTGAACACTGCCTCATTACTTTGTGGAACAAGATGTTTGGAACTCATCCTGTACACTCTGCCTGTCCTAGACTAGGATTCCAAACAGCTTTGGATGTGTTAGGGAAACAAGCAAGTCACTTGAAAATAGAAAAGAGAATTCATAATCCAGTCCCTGGCAGGTAAAGAGTCAGACACAGATGATAAAGGGACATTTGAGGGGAGACTGGAAGGATACAACATGCTGAGAAAAGATTACATGTATTACAGGAGGGGACCCATACGATTATTTCATGGAGAAAGGAAATTCCTGGCTTATCCGAGGAATAGCAAGTTGCGTGGAGGGGCTGCCACACAGGAAGTGGTCAGATAATGACAGCCGTCAGTACAGTGCCAAGACATGCGGGTAGGGCAGGACCGGGCATGTTTTGTTTTGATTTGAATATTACCTGACCTTCAGTTAGGTTCCATCATTTATTCTTTCTCATAGGAATGACATCACAAGATATGGGATCTAGAGGACTGGGAAAGAGATTTAGAGGAAGGACTACAATCGGAAGATTTTCTGTTACAAGTTCAGGCGGGAGTCTTACTTTATATGCCTTACAGAACATATAGTATACATTCTCTTGGTAATTTTAAGTAGGTTTGTTTAGGTTAAGTAGGTTTGTTTGCTACATTTTCAGTTGTCTTTTCAACATCATGTGTTTTGTGTGTGTGTGTGTGTGTGTGTGTGTGTGTGTGTGTGTGTGTGTGTGTGCATACACAAAGACGCACACACGTGCCAATACTAGGGATTGAACTCAAGAGTTTTACATTCTCACGTGGCTTTTTGCTCAAGGCTGGTGCTCTACCACTTGAGGCACACCTCCACTTATGCCTTTTTGCTGGTTAATTGAAGATACATTCTCTAGGGTTTGTCTGCTCAGGCTCTCTAAACCAAGATCCTCAGATCTCAGCCTCCTGAGTAATAGGTGTGAGCCACCAGCGGCTGGCTTAACAACTAGGATTATAATCTAATTGGTTTCCAGAAGTTTAAAAGACATCCGTCACCATTTCTACTTTAAAGTTAGAAGTCCTACTAACACACTGTCCATTGGGCTGGGACTCAGGAAGCTACTCAATGGGCACTTGGACTATAATCTTGGACAGAGATGCTATCTCTATTGTTCACATTATTGCGTGACTCCCACCCGGACCATCACTGGACCCTGGCCATGGAGTCATGGAGCATGTGCTGGTGTGATTGTTGCCTCTGTTTAGAAACATGATCTCACAAAGCCCAGGAGCCTGTTATTCTGAAATACATATCAGAGAGACATTCATGTGAGATTCACTTTGTATCATAGAATGATGCTGCCCTTTCATGGCCTCATTTTTGCATTGGTAAAAATGTTGACAACTATGAAAATAAAGTAACATGGATTTAATACAGAAACCCTGTGAACCAATAACACTGATTTATCTATCATCCTGTAAGCCCGTTTCTGTATTTTGAAATCGTCTTCTCAAAATTTCCTCAGAAAGATGGCAGGCTCCCTCTAGTGGGAATGAAAGTTGTAACTGACTTTTTTTCCCCCTGAGCCACATAACTGCGTAAGGAAAAGCAGCAGCTTCTGCCTGACAGCGTGGGCTCTGTGGCATTTCTTTATTTTTCTCCTGGAATTTTTGCCAAGAAAAACATATCGGCTATTAAGAGCTGTCGCAGGAGAGCCAGGCTTTCGGCCGCTGCCTACTCCAAAAGTGAAGGACGCTGACTTGTTAGGAAACAAATAATGTGCTTATATGTGGTTATTATATGTTTGCTTTTAGATTTATAAAAACATAAACTCTGATTGCATAAGCCTGTAAGGCTTCTACTTTGGTAACTAAGTTGTTTAATGGAGTACATCTTGTCTTGCCCTCATTTTACAGCTAAATTTGGCTTGCTGAAAATCCCACATCTTAAAACCTGCTCTGACCTTTGCACTCTCAATTCAATGCACAACAAGCCAGAGTCACTGTGGCTTTTCCTCATGAGAAAGAAATAACCAGAAGCCCTTGCTTTAGTAGATTGTAGGCAATTAGCTTTCCCCTATCACTATTTATGAAGCTAAAACTATATCTTATAGGGTCTAATAACTTATGTAAAATCATTGAGTAAAAAATAAAGCTGTACTGGGGAAGGAACAGAAGTAAGCACATCACAGAGGTGAGTTTTAGTTTTATAATTATTACATGAAAAGAAAGAAACTTCTAATGAAGTTTACATTAACGACAAAATACCCTCAAATGGGAAATGGCCCAATTAACTAACTTCAAAAAGAACGATGGTAGCAAGTTCAAAGTCTTCCTCATTTATTTCACCTATTCTAATTTTATATATCTGCTATTGAAGTATGGGAACTTAATTGCTTTCTGCTAACTGTTGACAAAGTCAGTCTACTCTGGAGCAAGGTGCCTCTCACTAATCTGCGTGCTCCTTTTTTTCGACAGCAAACGATGAGCTTGGCTTTGGAACGCTGGTCAGTACCTCTAACACCTATGACGGGTCTGGTGTGGTGACTGTGGAAACTGACCATCCGCTCCTCTGGACCATGGCCATCAAAGACTAGCCTTCCCCACAGAGTCCATCGGCGCGCCTCTGCCTTACCTCACCTGCCAAAGGCTCGTTGCTCAACACAGACGGGGTTCATCCGGGTTCACAGAAATCAAAACTTCGCTAGGGGAAGCCACCAGTTTGAAAGAAAATAACAACTGGAGATGGAGCTAAGTGGCAGAGAGGATGCTTGCCTAGCAGGCACAAGCCTGGATTGAGGCCCTAGCAATGCAAAACTAATCATCATCATCATAATCATAAAACATTGATAATGTTTAGATCATCCAGATAACACTATAGATAACAGTCTTTACAGTGAGGGAAAACAATTATGTGTCATGAAAGTGAATGAGCTCTGTTATATTCTCTTGGAAAGATAGTGTGGATCATTTCAGTATAAAATTCAGAACTATTTTTTTAATCATTCCATTTCTGTTTGAAAATTGTCTTTAACTGTGAAACTAGGAATTAAAAACCTGTGCGGTTCCTCCTGGAGTCAGTGTGCTTGTCAGGAAGGGCTAGCACTGAGTATCTCTAATGCTGTCCTCTTCTATGGAATATGTATTATGCTTTATCTTTAAGAAAAAGTCTTCCAGATTGGTGTTGCAGAACTGCAAGGTTTCACTCTGGTTTTGTAACTCTAGCACTGTCTCTCAAAAATAAATTGAGAATCAGCCAGGTGCTGCTCGCTCATGCCTGTAATCCTAGCTACTCAGGAAGCTGAGATCTGAGAATCAAGGTTCGAAGCCAGCCCAGGCAGAAAAGTCTTTGTGAGATTCTTATCTCTAATTAGCCACTCAAGAAACAGATGTGGTGCTATAGCTCAGGTGATAGAGCACTAGCCTTGAACACAGAGAGACTCAAAGATAGCATCCAGGCCCTGAGTTCAATCTCTATGACCAACAAAAATAAGGAAAGAGAGAGAGAGAGAATCATTGACCTAAATTGTTAGATTTGGAAATAGTACATAAGTACAGAGGCCATAGTGAACGATACATAATCATTCATGATGCCCTACTCACAGGCTAATACCCAGACTCAATGTAATTATGCTATGCTTTAGTGGGTTGACAACCATTACAACTTAGACCGGAAAAGTTGGGAAGACAAAAATATATATATATTTTTTAACCTACCTCAGACTGAAAAAGTATATATACTGGTTCATCAGTCACAAGTGCATTTACATGATCCGCAAATGAGTCTGTTTGTCGATATGGATAAATGAACATGGAATGCGGAGATACCAAGGCTGTAGCCTGTGTTCTGCCCCTGGCCACCACCCACCTGGGTTACCTGAACCATCTCCTCGACTGTCAAATGGAAAAGGTTGTACCGACCGCATCTGCGGCAGCCTTCCACACGCAAGTTCTGAGTGCGGACGCTGAGCAGGTGCAGGGGAGATAACACACTCAGTTACTGACACCTTGAGCTTGAGCAAACTGGTAAACATGCATTCATGTTTCTTTTTTGAGACACTCCTTCGATCTTCTTCCTAACCTTTCCTTCCCAAATCACTAGATCACATCTTGCCAAATACACCACTCTTTACGCACTGCAATGCCTGAATCTCAGAAGGACAATGACCAATAATGCCTTTCATCTTGGTGCTACAGCAGTGTGAGGCTCAGATTGTAAATAGAGAGTGAAAAGGGATCAAGTGAACTCGCATACAATTCTCAAGATTCATCAGAGATGATTTTTAGTTATTTTATGCCAGTATATGTGATACCAAAAACCTGGATGTCAAATAAAAATATTTCCTTACAATATGCATGTCTGTGGTCAGCTCCTAAGAAAACAATCCATTTTTATCATTTGTATTTCATTATGACTAAATTCTCATGATCAGTGTTTCCAAATTTAACATACTGGCTCAAAGGATGATTATTAGGCATATAATTCATAATCTTGATTATGACTTAAAATCTCTCATCTGATTTCAGATAGCAATCAGTGCTATTAATAGGTCCTTTCTCATTGAAGTGGGGAGGTGGTGGGGGGAGTCAGATCACATAGACCAGGGGTTTATACTCATCTCATTAGACCCCTGTTGCTTCATCTATAAAAACAAAGATTGTGTGATGTATCTGTTTGCCTTGTAGGAGTCTTAGGAATGAAGGTAGGTAACTTGCACAAATATATGCCAGGGGAAAGACAACAGAGAGAAGAACTACCACAGTGAAGAAGGTGAGAAAAGAGCCTAAAGAACTCTGAGGATTAAGAAGAGACAGGAGGGGGTCGTATCTGCAGTGCTGCAGTTCCACTTGTAACTCCTGCATCTTGGCACAAATTCGGAGCCCAGAGCACTTGGCTGTGTCTTCCATTCACATTGCCGACAGCTGGTTGGAAGCCAAGTAAAGAACAGTGGAAGCCCAGGCTCCTTCACTGAGCAGCTCCTTTCAGTATGAACCTACAGCGGAGAAACTCCTAAGACCTCCAAATGCTGCCCCAGACAACACCCGCCGCAAAGGAAATGGCAAGGAAGGGAGTGGCCAAGTCAGCGTGCATTCTCAGCACGGGTTATCCCTTCTGGTTCTGTTCTGGGTCACTGGCAGGTGAAGCTGGCATAGTTTCATCCCAGTTGCAGAAAACCACTTACATATTCATCATGAGAAGTGACTTCATACCATTTTAAAAAATAGGTCCAGTGGGTGCCGGAGGCTCACGCCTGTCATCCTAGCTAGTCAGGAGGCTGAGATCTGACGAAAGCAGTTCAAATCAAGCCCAGGCGGGTAAGTCTGAGAACCTTATCTCTAATTAAACACCCAGAAGCCTGAAGTGGAGGTATGGCTCAAATGATAGTGCACTTGGGGTGGGGGTGAGGGGAGGGACACTCAAGGACAGCATCCAAGTTCTATGTTCAAGTCCTGGGACCAGCACATAAGAAAGTAAGTAAAAAATAAATGGAATAGGTCCATTGTTTTAAATTTTCATTACCAAAGAATGCCTGTTACATTTAAACTAAAAAAACTTTGAGATTTTAATACATTTTAAAATATAAAGTCTCTGTGTGTGTGTGTGTATATCTGAAATATTTGTAAACTCTAGGCACTTTGAAGCAGATTCTATGCCACAACCTCAGAACTTTGCTGCAGACCCTGGACATTCACACTCACAGAAGGAATTCTCCTAAAGCATCCAGTAAAGCGTTAGGTACTGCTTGTTATTATGTGACTTTTTCCTTGGAACAACCAGATGATTTCCTATTTATATGCTCTCTCACTTTAACAAGTTTTTACTCTGTGTGTGTGTGTGTGTGTGTGTGTGTGTGTGTGTGTGTATGTGTATACGCACTCGCGTGCATGTGTGCACACACACTGGGCCTGGGGCTTGAACTCAAGGCCTAGGTGCTCTTCACCACTTGAGCCACACACACACTTCCAGCTTTTTGGAAATTAATTAGAAGTAAAAGTCTCACAGACTTTCCAGCCTTGGCTTCAAACTGCGATGCTCAGATCTCTGCCTTCTGAGTAGCTAGGATTTACAGATATGAGTCACCTGTGCCTGGCCATCTATTAGTTTTATAGTATCGACATGAGCCTGTGGCTCAGTACAGTTTTCAAACAAAGAGGAAGTGCTAGCTGAGCCCAGCTGGGGCCCAAGAATAAACTACCTTTGACCCTTTTGACTTCAATCAGCCTCTTTCCGTGGGTCATGTTTATAAATCTGAGTGAAACCCAAAATATCAGTAGGCTACCTAAATGGCTGATGAGAGAAGGCATGCTGTGATCCTACTCTTCAGGCAGTGGGGGGAAAATGGAAAAATGATTGCAGTCCAGTGGTTGCAGCCACAAGTGAGCTTGCATCCATGCCTTCCAAAGCTTTGCTTGGGTTGCTGGAGTCAAGCAGCACGTGAGTTTGAAGTGAAGACAGAACACAGTGGAGGATAGACAGCAGAGGGCGCTGTGGTGGTAAGGAGATACGGTCTGCATGGGGACATGTAAACTATTTTTACTAATCTGTGACGCACATAAACACTCACAATGAAACGAACCTGCAGTATATTCTAATAATACTATCCTAAATTGGAAAACCACCTAGAAATAGATTTTAGATGGAAAAGCATACGTTGGGGAGGAGCAAAATACCTAACGGTACTTTCTCCAAGGTGTGTGTGTGTGTGTGTGTGTGTGTGTGTGTGTGTGTGTGTGTGTGAGGGTTCTGCACTGAGCAGACACTAATGTCATAAATTTAGTATAATAACCATGTACTTTTTTAAAACCGATCCCTTGTGAACAATAACATTGAAACCATGAAGTCTTCCACTTGTGAGATGGCGAGCCTATAGCACAGGTGTCCACCCTTCCCTGCCTGTGCCAAGCTTTCCCAGACTGAGCCTCAAAACTCATCTCGAAGTAGTCATCCAGGAAGACAGGATCCATTATTCTGTACTGGCTCAGAGCTTATGTGTGTTTCCCAGTATACACAAAACCGCTCTCTAACCCAGGAGAGAGCTTAGAGCCATATCACTGTTAATGGTAAGTAAATATATAAATGGATCAGAGGACTTACTCACTGTGGACTAAAAGCCAGGGCTTTGTGTATGGTGAAATGAAAACTTAATCTATCCCTGTGAATAACCTGAGAAACATAAACTGAACCCTGCGAACATCTCTCTGGCAACCAAGAAACAAGGTAGATACTACAGGATGACTATTCCAAAGGCTGAAAGGGGCATAAATATTCAAAGAAACTGATTAAGTAGATTACAAACCATATATTTAGTTTTTAAAAATGCCTCCAAAACTCTAAAGACTTAGTGAATAATAGCCAGATATTTGTTTTAAAAAAGAAACTGTGACTAATAGTTTCTATAGGACTTGAATGACACAGCTACTTGAATGCTTAGTTGTTTACATTCTAATCCTCTCCTAGAATATAGAGCATGCACCTTGTCCTGTCACCTGCTCTGCCAGCCCCTGACTCCTACCACAGGGCCTTATCTGCAGCAAGAGTTCAGTGACAAGGACAACATGTATAGGGCCATTGACACTAACCTCCCTCTGACCTCCGTACCCTCCCCTGTGCAGAGGAAAATGCTGCAGGCTTGCTAGTTCCTGGAACCCATTATGCTTTGCTTCCTTGGTCCATACTTCTCCAGTTTTTAGACACACAAATTCCTCTGTTCTACTCCTAGATTGGACAGTTACAACTTTATTCTCTCTCCTATCTGAAGAGGGACGTAATGTTTCCCTAGGACACCCTCCAAGACAAACACTGAACAAGTCCAAAAGGAAATGCAAAAGGCCATGGAGTTTTAAGTTGTTTGAAACAGATAGATAAAGGAAAGTGAGAGCCACAAGCAAGCAATGACAGGAATTTGGGCTGCAAGAATTAGGGACAAGGGCTGGGAAGGTGGCTCAGTGGTAGAGAGCTTGCCTTGTATGCCTGAGACCCTGTGTTCGATTCCTCAACACCACATAAGCAAAAAGAAAAAAGCCAGAAGTGGTGCTATGCCTCAAGAGGTAGAGTACTAGCCTTGACCTGAACTGCTGAGGGACAGCGCCCAGGCCCAGAGTTCAGGCCCCACAACCGGACCCAAAAAAAAAAATCAGGGACAAAGTAAATGTGAAGAATACAGTTAACCAGCCTGCTTAACAGAAAGCTTCAAGAAAAATAAATAGAAGCAATAAGTAGACATATTTTTCCAAGTTGAAAATCCTGAAGATAAGATGCTCAGGCAGGACCTAAATGAACTACACAGAAAAAAAAAACTGTGCACTATCTTCAAAAACATTAAGATTGGTGGGTGCTGGTGGCTCATGCCTGTCATCCTAGCTACTCAGGAGGTTGAGATTTGAGGGTAATGGTTAAAAGCCATCCTGGGCAAACAAAGTCCATGAGACTCATCTCCAGTTAACCACCAGAAGACCGGAAGTGGCACTGTAGCTCAAGTGGTAGAGAGCTGCCCTTGAGCTGAAGAACTGAGGGACAGCGCCAGGCCCAGAGTTCAAGAAAGACCCACAACCAAACAAAACAAAAAATTTTATTAAGACCATACCTCTCAATCCTATTCCCTTTATTTGTATTTAAATCTACTTGTTTCCCAAACCCTTAATGTTCATATGATACTAGCATAAAATCATCAAAAGGGATCTGGTCTCTAACCAAATTACCCAGACATGACCTTATTATTTGTATTTTTGAATCAGTATTATTTAGTGATATGAATAAATGTATAAATCATAGCAACCTCACTTTTGACAAAACTCTAAGCCTACAAAAGAACTAGTTTGTTATTTAAAAAAAAAAACTTGCCCCCAAATCTTTATATCAACTTTTAACTCACCCTGAAAATATTTGTAGAACACACCAGGAAAGAAAAATTTTATCTATTGTGAAGACATTTCTATTCACTTGTCCCATATAGAAACTACTCTGCCTTACCCCACTACATCTTATTTACTGGATATCTCCATAACTTTAATGTCATCAGTTATGAATTTTAAAATCTACTCATCTCTAACATACTAAGCCTGTACTATGTCTTTATGAGCAAATACGTGAAGCACATACAGTAAAGAGATTCTAAAAATAAAAGTTTTAAGAGTTTTCTCTTCTGATGTTCTAGAAAATACTCAAGTTCCTCTTAACCTTCTCTCCTATATCAACTTCATTAATTTTAGAAATAGGACTCACTCCACCTTGAGTTCCTATTCCTGAGAAATCTTCCTTCATCCCAATGGTCTACACACTCTGCTCTTTTTTTTCCACTCCTTAAAATTCAAGGAGGCCTCCACAAATAATAAGGTGAAGAGAAATGGTACCGAA